TCATTAGTGGCTTCCTTTGTCCTCATGCTCGAGCCGATGAGATTTGCTGCACCTCCCTAAGATGTCTCCACTGCCATGAACCAAAACCTTTATAGAAAATAGACCGGCATCTTCCCTTGGTGTACACCTTGTCGGAAACTGTCTCAGATTCCATGCTCGAAGCTTCCTTCTGTGAACATCCAGCATCCCATTGTCTTCCTCTTGGTGGCCATCAAATATCCTTGTAACTGTTGCTCACTGATGTTCACCCACGACTCATACTACTCGTCTGATGCTTGACAGTAACTCCCTTTTTGTCATAACATACTCTACGAGCCTATACAAGTTTCCAATCACGATACCTGATCAGAAAACACCGTCTAATTGTCCCCGCAACGACTGGACTTCCTGGTTGATTGAATTAGATTACTCCTAGATCACCCGCAATCAAACCCGATCACCTAGATCACCGCCGAAACTATCCAATCCCTTTAAACCTATTCAGAATCTGAATGAATTTGCAACCCCTAAAAACCTTGAGATCAGTGTTTTAAAAAGCTTGCCTAGGCGCTAAGTGAGGCGAGGCGCAAGGGCAGCGTTCAAAGTAGGCGAGGCGAGGCGAGTTGCGAGAAGTGCGGGTAAGGCGCTGAGGCGTGCACCTTTCAATTAGGCTCAAGACGCACGCTTTGTACACTTCGCCATCGACTGATTTGTTTTGTGTTTGTATACTAGCCATCGACTGATCTGAGCTTCGACATCGACTGGACTCATCTTCTTCAAGTTCGTCTCTGCTTCTTCTCTTCTCTCTCTACTTCTCTTCTGCTTCGTCTTCTCTTCTCCACTCTTCTCTTTTCTCTTCTTCCATCGTCTTCTCTCTCGCGATCACGATCTCTCTCTCTCTTTATCTTCTTGATTCATATATATATAATATTATGTAATACCTATTATATAATATACAATATATAATATACTTATAGATAATATATAAAATATAATATATACTTATACATAGTAATAAAAAAAATAAACTACATATATGTAAAATAAAATAAAAAAATTAATTGAAGCACATTATTTAAAAAATATAATAAATAAAATAATATATATATTAAAAAAATTAATTATTTTTTTTCTTCTTCTCTTCTCTTCTCTTCTTATTAAAATTAAAAATATACATATTAAATATTTGCTTATGTTGAAAATTGTACTATATTAATATTTTGCTCAACTTCTATAACCGCCTTGCCTCGCACCTCGGTGCTTAGGCTCTAGGTGACCTTAGCGCCTCGATGCACCTAAAACTTTTTAAAACACTACTCGAGATCCACCTTCGCTGTGAATTTTTCTACCATGTTACTTCTTATGGAAACTTTCACCAGATTTGAACCCCTTTTTTTTCTCTACCACCGGAATTTCTTTCTATTCTGTGCAAGTCCTCCGTGTGCAATAATCACACCCTCTACCAACCGCACCTAGGATCAGTAACCTTTAGCTCTGATACCACTTAATGGGATTTATACCATATCCCACCAACGCAAATGGAAGCACACCCACGCACACACCAAGGAGAAAAATAATCACACAGATTTACATAATTTAGCCTAAATTGCCTACAACCACGAGAGAGAGAGAGAGTTTCCACTATGAATAAAATAGAGAATACATGTGAGATGACCACAACACTCAAAACCTACACCACTACCTAAACTCTACACCCAAGGGTAGTTGAGCCCTTACTCACCGGGTATCTACGGTATTGTTTCTCTCACCATTACATCTCTATTTTTTTCCTCACTACACTCCCAATCTCTCACAAGAAATCCTATAGTCTACATGACTATTTATAATAGTCAAACCATGAAAATCCTAGTTCCATACAATTAGATAACCAAATCCTATACATACTAAGTTTCCTAGTAAATTCCGGACTATACTATCCTAACTCAAATACATGTATAAAACAACCTAATAACGGTATGGGACCCACCTTTATCATATAGGTGGACTAATCCTAACACAACGATAGAATGGTGCTAATCTCTACAATTTTGTAAATCAAACCCATATGGTGGTGAGATAGGTGGGGAGGCTCTGATTTGGTGCAATGAGTGGTTAAAGGTGTTTGCTACAAGTGGGGTTGTGGCTAATATAGTTAATGGTAGTGCTATATTGTGGTGTGGTTGTCAACAGTAGAATGGTCAATCAGTGGCAACTAGTGTGATGATGGAAGGAGAAATTCAAAGGTGATGGAAGCCATTGAAGGAGGAGACGAAAATTGGAGTTTTCAATGAAGGTGGAAGCCATTGGAGGGTGAATGGGAGAAAAGAGAGAATAAGGGTTTGTGGTATGACTGGTTACAAGGGTGATGGTGTAAGTGGGAAGAACATAAAAGAATAAGGGCGGTAATTTTGACATTTTAAAACATAATTTTGCTAACTTCAGCTGATTTTATTAAAATTTGTAACGGCACCAAACGTAAGAGAGGTTATTTACAAGGTTGTTAAAATCGGGATCCTACGTTGGATCGTTGGAGGTGTTTATAGGATCGGATCGTAGAATCGGATCGAGGATCGTAAGATCCTACCGAAAAGGATAGATTACATAATAATTTAATTTAAATAAATATTTCTTATAAAGTATATACGAAATGAGCCTATATTCTATTACAAAAAAGTGAAGATATTATGAAAAATATAATGCTCTATGTAAAATGTACATATAATATTATACAATAGAAAACTCGATGGCAAAAATATTGTATTTCATCAAAAAAGAAGGTGAAGAAGAAGAAGAATTCTATAACAAAATACTTTACAATCTACAATAATGCATAAAAAGTGAAGAAAAAATATTTAACAAAGTTGGATATGAAAATATATTAAAAACTCAAAAGAATAACTTAATCGAATGATAAGGTTTGTCGTTAGCATCCCTGGTGGAGCGGATTCAAGTCACAAAAATAATTTCTCCAAAAATTGGGATAAAATTGCAATCATCTTACCCTCCTTAGACTCTGCTAAAGCTGAGTTTGTTTTTCCGACTATTTAATTTTTTTAAATTACCGCAATATTTGAATGTTTGTTTTCTAGTTTGTTTTTCTTAGTCTATTTAATTCAATACTACTTAATTTTTATTATTTATTTTGACCACATAAATTGATTAATAATATACATATTAAATACTTTCTATGTTGAAAATTGTGTTATATTAATATTTTGCTTAACTTTTATAACTTGTGCCTCGCTTTGGTGAGGCACGCGCCTCGCCTCGCGCCTCGGTGCTTATGCTCCAGGTGATCTTAGCGTCTCGATGCGCCTAGAGCTTTTTAAAACACTGCTTGAGATCCACCTTCGTTGTGAATTTTTCTACCATGTTACTTCTTATGGAAACTTTCACCAGATTTGAACCCCTTTTTTTTCTGTACCACCGAAATTTCTTTCTATTCTGTGCAAGTCCTCCGTGTGCAATAATCACACCCTCTACCAACCGCACCTAGGATCAGTAACCTTTAACTCTGATAACACTTATTGGGATTTATACCATATCCCACCAACGCAAATGGAAGCACACCCATGCACACACCAAAGAGAAAAATAATCACACAAATTTATGTAGTTCAGCCTAAATTGTCTACAACCACGAGAGAGAGAGTTTCCACTATGAACAAAATAGAAAATACATGTGAGATGGCCAAAACACTCAAAACCTACACCACTACCTGAACTCTATACTCAAGGATAGTTGAGCCCTTACTCACCGGGTATCTACGGTATTGTTTCTCTCACTCTTACATCTCTATTTTTTCCCTCACTACACTCCCAATCTCTCTCACAAGAAATCCTATAGTCTACATGACTATTTGTAATAGTCAAACCATGAAAATCCTAGTTCCATACAATTAGATAACCAAATCCTATACATATTAAGTTTCCTAGTAAATTCCGGACTATACTATCCTAACTCAAATACATGTATAAAACAACCTAATAACGGTATGGGACCCACCTTTATCATATAGGTGGACTAATCCTAACACAACGATAGAATGGTGCTAATCTCTACAATTTTGTAAATCAAACCCATATGGTGGTGAGATAGGTGGGGAGGCTCTGATTTGGTGCGATGAGTGGTTAAAGGTGTTTGCTACAAGTGGGGTTGTGGCTGATATGGCTAATGGTAGTGCTATATTGTGGTGTGGTTGTCAACAGTTAGAGTGGTCAATCAGTGGTGACTAGTGTGATGATGGAAGGAGAAATTCAAAGGTGATGGAAGCCGTTGACGGAGGAGAAGAAAATTGGAGTTTTCAATGAAGGTGGAAGCCATTGGAGGGTGAATGGGAGAAAAGAGAGAATAAGGGTTTGTGGTATGATTGGTTATAAGGGTGATGGTGTAAGTGGGAAGAACATAAAAGAATAAGGGCGGTAATTTTGACATTTTAAAACATAATTTTGCTAACTTCAGCCAATTTTGTTAAAATTTGTAACGGCACCAAACGTAAGAGAGGTTATTTATATTGACAGGTAAAGTAAGAAAAGACAATGTAATTTCCAAAATCTTAGGGAGGTTTCGTGTAGTTAACCCTATTCTTTTTTAATTTGCCGATACACTTGTTTTATCCTCCATTCTTGTTTGTTCATCCTTTGACAATGTAGCCATTGACTGTATTTAAAATGACATTCTTGAAAATGAGTTTTAAATTTGATATTGTTTATTGAAATGAGTTATCTTCTGACTTATATCATGACAAAATGAAGAGATGAGATGCCTAATTTTAGTAGACAAGGACATATATATGTGTGTGCGTGTGTATGTATTTAACTAGGTAGGCAAATAATATAAAGGTAATGTTATCCACTCTTTTCATATTGGTAGAAATTTATAGTATGTTGCACCTTTTAAGGAAAATTTAAAAGAGGAGTTATATGTGTATTCATCTCCAAAGTTAGAATCCTCGATATGATAATAAGAACACACGACAACCATAAACCGATATTTGGATATGATTTAAGAGCAGGATTTACCGCAATAGCAGCCAGTGACAATGGCAAAATTAGCGCCATACGATGCGGAAATGTTCGCGACTCCGTGAACTTTGCCATGTTTTGATATCAATCCAACTCCCCCGCCGGCAATTCCTAGAAGATAAAATTGAAAGAAGGAAAAAATCAATCAGAAACTAGAAACTTCATGGCAAACCAAATTTCCCTACTCTCTCTCTCTCTCTCTCTCTCTCCCCTTCTGTTTGGATGGAAAGAAAACGTAGGAAGAGAAAGGAACGATTTGGATACTTGAATTAAATGTTTCCAAATTGTAATCATCCAAACACGGTGCAGTGAAAAGAGAATAATTTTTTAAGAAAATAGGGTTTTAGAGAAAGACCAGCGAGGAGGGTGGGAAAGAGAATGCGCTCCTTCCAAGACTCCGATGAGGAAGATGATGAATTCAATTCTTCTAGGGTTTTATCATCTGCACCCATTTTTTATTGCTCTCTCTCTCTCTCTCTCTCTCTCTCGCTCGCTCTCCCTCTCTGTGTGCAGTTGACTTAGGTACCAAGAAGCCGTGGAAATGGATCGGATTCCCTAAACCCCCCAAACCGGTCGGCGATGTAGAGAAAAGCCGACCGCTTCTTTACCTTTTCGTGTATCCAAACACACACAGAAGGAGTATTGGTCGTACATTACACTGACATCCTTCACGTTTGGAGAAATTACACTCTGCCTCTAAAGTTTGACAAAATTACAATAATTTCTTATAGGTTAAGGAACGTGACATTTTTAACTCATTACACTCTTTATTTTTTATTTTTTATTTTTATTTTTAGGGACAATTACAAAAAATAAATAAATAATTAAGGTTTGAGTCTTGTAACAAAAACCATCTTAAATTTTTTATTTTGTCAATTTAAATTCTAATATTTTGATTTGTTTTCAATGTAAGTCATTTTTCTATTTTCATTAAGTAGAAAATGACAAAAAAATAATATTTTAATATTTAAACTCAATGTAGATATACATAAAATGGCTAAAATATTTTTTTTTTATTGAGTGTAATGACTAAAATATTTATTTTTTCATTAATTTTACTAAAGAAAAATAGGCAAATGATTTAAATTAAAAACAAATCAAAAATTTAATATTTAAATTGATGAAATTAAAATTTCAGAATTTATTTTGTTACAAGGTTCAAACTGTAGAGTTTTTCTTTGTAATTTCCCCTTATTTTTATTATTATAATTTTATCCTTACATAAAATTACATTTCAGTTGTCAACCTATAATCCTAATTTTTCTTCTCACTCTCATCTTCTTCAAGCTACTGACACTTACTTCACTAATGTCGGCACAACAATATCTTCAATATGCTGTCCACCTCTTTTATCTCCTACAACCCCACAACTCTCTCATTTTAGCCCGCCACCCCCACTTCCTTCTCACATTCCTTCAACCACCATTGTGAATTTGCTCCAAATCTAGGGTTAGGAAAAAGAAAAAGAATGACTAACAGAGAGTGTTCAATTTGCCAGTGTCGAACATGTGATTGGAGTTTGGATTACCAACGTCATACACATGACAATTAGAGGCGGCAGAGGGAAGACAAAAAAACGAATAAGAAAGGGAAAAGAAAGATAGATGCAAAGAAAGAATGTGAAATTCATTATATGAAGAAAATTGATATATTGAAAAGTGTAAAAATACAAAATAAAAAATTTGAATTTTTTGAATGAGTGTAATAAGAAAATAGGTGTAAGGAAACCAAATTGTTGTGTAAATATAATTACCCTTGGTTGAAACATTAATGTCATTAACAACATTGTTGATTTTATCATTTTCTACTTTTCAGAAAATTAAATTTTTATATTTTTTGCATTTTCTTGTTTTTAGTTAAAAATTTAATATTTAAAGAAATTTTTTTATTTTTTAAATATCTCCAACCTAGATACACTTAAAAAATATAATATTTATGAAAAAAATCTTTAAAAAATTCATCAAATACTAATAATACAAAAATTCAATATATTTTCATATTCTTGTGTATTTATTGAAATTTTAAAATAATTTTTTCACAAATATTTTACTTTTTAGGTGCATCTAAATTATGTGCATCTAGAAAGTAAAAAATTTTCTTAAAATATTAAAAAAATTCACTAAAAAACCCACGAAAAACAAAACATTCAATTTTCATAGAATCAATCAAAACTAAACAAGGTGAATGGTTTTTCTGTGACTTTAAAGCGAAATTAAAGTGAATGGTTTTTCTGTAACTTTAAACAAGGTGAATGGTTTTTTGTCTGGTTTCAATTAGCTATGCTGGTTTCTTTTGTATTTGTGTTTTAATATCTATATACTTCCTTTGTTTGCTGATCTCGAAAAAAAAAAAAAATCGAAATTAAAGTAGAACTCAATCGCAAGACATACAAACCAAATGAACAAAAGCGAGTGCAAAGAAACCAAATGAAAACTATTATTATATAAATGAAATTGTCACTTGTCACAAGTTACATTAACAAGAACAACAACATTTTTCAAATATCAATCAACAGAAAAAGCTATAGTTAGAACTACTCCTAACAATGGCTAACGGCTACAGCTACGGCTACTCCCAACTACTAAGAGCGACTCCTAGAATTTTATACTTCTTCAAAATCGCAACTTTTATACTTCTTTGTTGGTCATTTCCACTTATTTTTGCAGCCACACGTGTCCGCTTTTTAGCATGTGCCTCCTATTCTTCAGTTGTTCACAACGGCTATATTTCCTGGCTCATATTTGATCAATGTAGGCCACGTCAACATCCCTGGCGATAGGTCATGTTGCATATTTTAGTACCAATACTACCCTATCTATCAAACTCAACTGGCCTTTCCACAAGTGCCTCCTCTGCCTTTCCATACGTAAATAACCCAAGGAAACTGGGGCTACTATATCGGAAGGATTTGAAAAACCTCAATTCATCCGACTCAATAAGAAAAAGAGAAGCTACTCACACTTTATTATTGAGGAGGTTTGGCTCCCCTACAGCCTTTAAAGGTTCATTCAGAATTAGGTTTCCAAACCAAGGGTGCGAAAATTTCAAAATGTGTAAACTAAGAAAATGTGTGAACTAACAAAAATTGGTGTGAAAATATAAGCCTCCACCTATGAAGAATATGTGTGAACTAACGAAAATTGGTGTGAAAATATAAGCCTCCACCTATGAAGTTTAGAAGTTAGGAGGCAACAAAAGAACATCCTGACAAGTGGGAAGAACATTGAAGCAGAGAAGTTCCAAACTTAAAGCATTGACTGAGCAATTCAGACACAGAAAACGATCGAATGATTTGATTTCTACCTTACCAAGAATTACACATTAAGCTTAAATTTAAGTAACCAATCGTTCCAAAAGTTTAAACTGTCAAGAAATGAACTCAATAATGTAATCAACCCATCCAACATAAATTTCACCATGTCCAACACGAAAAGAATAGACAAATATAACTGCACTTTTAAAACCATACATGGAATTAACCCAACCATTATTCTCAGACCATCAAAAGCAACCATGGAATATTGATAGTTTTCAATAGTTGCAGAAGAGTTCAGAAGGTGAAAATTCAAAAAAAACATACAATACGGTGACAATGGAACAATTTTGAAGTTCAAGATAAATGGGAATTATATGAGGAGAGAAGAAAAAGAACAGAAACAAGCTAATAAACTTATGCTCGTTAACTTACCTTTTTGGGAAAAAAAATTGAGTACACATTTTCAAATTCTAATTTCTAATGCATTTTGCAAAACATTGACAACTACGATTAGTTTGAGAAATGGTTTCAAGTGCTTACTACGAGACTAAAGGTTGTGTTTGGATAATAGATTTTGGTAGCAATTTCAAAAGGGAAAAAAGAAATGGTGGGTGAAATGTGAACGAAATATAATTACATTTCACCTACTTTTTCTCTTTCTTTTTTTAAATCTCAACACAAATCCATGATCCAAACACAACCGAAGTGAAGTGCAAGTTTTGAGGTGTTTATGATAATGACGCATGTAACCTTGAAGTCCTTGAATTAGAAACAAAAATCTGCTATTAACAGTCATAAAGTCTTTCATGATCTGTACAACCAAAAGATATATATATATGTGTAAGGAGCAAAAAGATAGGGGCTGAATTGCTAACATATAGGATTTCAGCTTGTTTCTGAACCAAAACTTTCAAGAGACTATGTGTCTGGCTCTACATCTTCTGAAGCCGAGAAGCCATTGACTCCTTGATTAAGTTCCCAGTCACTATTCTGCGCTGAAGGCTTGGACTTTCTTCGTGAACCTGCGCCGCTTCTTCTCCGATGTTCTGAGAATTTTGTTTATAGTAACTATTTAAAACCAGAAGAAGATGGAAACACAAGTGCATCACCAAAAAGAGTGAGGTAAGCTTACTTTTATTATTAATTGCAGAGCGAGTCAATGCTAAGAACTCATCCCATTTGAATTGCCGAAGATCTTGCTTCTCCTCCTCCGAGAGTTCAAAGTTGGGTTCTCTCCCACACATAAACGCAGCCCTGCAAATACAGAAAAACAACTAATGAGATTTCCATAACACATTATTTATTGCACACCACCTTTTCCTCTGAATGGCTGAGCAAGAAAAAAAGGACCTAGTAAAATCACATCACCAAACCAAGAAAAAATAAAAATAAAACAGTAAAAACAAGAGGAAGCCTAAATACAATGAGTACAAGACAACTTTTTACCTGCTAAAAGGTGTGGCCTTGAAGTTTTGAGTCTCTCTAAGTTGCTATGAATGTTAGGAAAACCCTCTGATCCTTAACTATTGAGACTCCTGCCTATACTATAAGAAAGAAAATGTAGAAGAGTGTTCCCTGCACTCATCTTAAAAGGAAAAAATACACCCAGTTTAGTCCCCATTTGATGAGTGGTCTGATGGGTGGTCTGAGAGAGGTAGATTGGATATAAATCTTACCCAAAATTTATTCTCGTGTTCTCAACCTCACTTCCCAACTTCTTTCTATGGTTATTCACAAAATTAATCAGTGTGTTTGGTTTGAGTTTTTTGGTTTTCATGTTTTTTTGTTTTTAGTGAATATTTTTAAAATTTTAAAATTTTTTTTTTTTACTTTTTTAGATGCACTTTACTTAGATGTATCTAAAAAATAAAAAAATTGTGAAAAAAATATTTTAAAAAATTAATAAATACATAAAAATACAAAAAGGTTTTTTTTTTGTATTTTTGATATTTAGTGAATTTTTAAAAAGTTTTTTTTCACAATTTTTTTACTTTTTAGGTATATTTATGCTAGGTGTGTTTAAAAAAAAAAAAAAAAAAAAAAATTGCTTAAAATATTAAAAAAATTTAATAAAAACAAAAAAACACGGAAAACAAGAAAGTAGAATTTTCTGAAAAGTGTTTTTTGAAAAACTTAACCAAGCAAGCTGATTCTTTAAGTTCTTGATCGTCATGGAGAAAACAATAAACTAAAGAGTGTTGCTATTTGCCCCCACCTAATTTCTTTGGACCCTTACCTGCAAATTTTGAAATTTTCATTTTTTTTTTTTTACTTCGGACCCTTACCTTATTCCCAATTCTACCCTCATTTCCTATATCCTAATCCAAGCCCCACCTCCACCTCCACCTCCATCGCAACACACCCTCCATCACCCCACCCTCACTCTTGGAATGCCCCATCCTCTCCTTCCCTGTGCACCACCACAATCCAACCCCTCCCCTCTTCTTCTTCTTCTTCGCAACCTCTCTCTCAATCAATCTCTCTATCCTCTCTCTAACTCAATCAATAGTGAGGGTTAGGGTTGTGGGGGGCGGCAATTGCGAGGGTGGTGAAGAGGTGTTGCGGGGGTGGTAACATGATTATCAAAATCGCGATCCAAAATTTCCAAAACAATCCAAATTGTTGTAGGATCGGTGCAATAGCAATATCACAAGTAGGATCGTGTGGGATAGTATAGAATCGTAGGTAGTATCATTGGGTTTGTGATTTTTTACCTTATTTTTAATATGCATCATCCTTATTTGTATTTTTACCTCATTGGAATAAAGTAGAATCTTACGATCGTCAAACCAATCCATGACACCCTCTCATAGATCCTTGTAGGATCTCGATTTTAACAACCATGGGTGGAAGGAGGGGTTACAAGGCTAAGGGAGGCTGGGGGAGAGATGACGCTGGCAGGGATGGGTTGTGGACAGGGGTGGGCGACGTTGGGAAGGGTCATCGGAGCTGGGGGCTGGGTGGGGAGGGTGCCAACAAGAGCTGGTAGAGTGGAGGTAGGGGTAGGGTTAGGGTTAGGGTAAGAGATGGAGATAAAATGGGAATTCTATGTTAGGATAAAATTCTAATAGGAAAAAAATATTGAAAGGGATGGGAGTACGAAGAAGAAAAGTGGGTACTATTAGGAGGACTCTAAACTAAATCCCATAGCCACACCACACTCACACTTCATCAAAGGTAGGGACAAAGCTAGAAATTTGTTTTAGGAGGGGCCAAAATAAATGTAGCAAAAAAAATATTTTAGTAAAAGGGAAATTTTAACATATACTTTAAGAAAAAAACTATTAATGAGAAAAATCAATTAATTTATATTAGTCAATAATGAAATCAATAGGATTATAACTATTATATTAAATAATTTGGGATCATCTTATAACTGTCTCCATTTGACCTCAATGAATATTATTGTATTCTTCACCTATAAATATAGGTGTTTCTCATGTATACAAACTATCCAAGTGAATTCTTAGATGTTGAATGTGGGTGAATGTAGGACAAGATTAGTCGAACCACGTTAAATTCTTGTGTTCTCTCCATTTTCTATTTGTCACATCTCTTCATATTCAAAATCACAGTTCCACAATGAAATAATTCATAACCACAAAAGACTCTTAACAAATCAAGTACGTTATTTCACACCACTATGTGTTTTCAAGAACAAAATTTTATAATAATTCTTTCTCGTGCTTATGAGAATTTCTTGCTTGTTTCAATCTATCCGTGCCTTAGTAAGGTCAGTATAAGAAAAGGAAACAAAAGCATAGGTAAAAGGAAGGTGATCTGACACGTGTGTATGGAGAGGGAGATCCACACCCTCCCTCTCATGTGGGTGGCCCCACTATGGTAAGATAGTGGATTTAAAAAAATAAAACAAATCAAAGCTTTGCTGCATCTTCAGTTCAAGACTTACAGAAATGGATGAGACTGCCTAGAAACTCATACAATTTGAACCCTAGTTATATCAATATTAGTATAAAATGAGAACCTAACAAAAATCAAACAAAAAAGTATTTAATGTAGCATTGCGAGCCTCATATGTAGATACATTACATCCCAAATGATATTTGAAACAACATTAAACAACATTGATTAATCAACCTAGCATTTGCAACGATGACCAGTGTTTACCTTTGCCCCAATGATGAGGGTGGGACTGTATTATAGTTTAAATAAAAGACCCTACAAGGACGGTACCACTACTGTGGTAGCTTTAAGCGCAACATGAGGACCTATCATTTTATATAGGATAAGGACCTTTTGCTTTCATGTGTTGTGGCTGAGATGTAGAAGGTAGAAGAAAAAAGTACAATGTTTGCAATATAATAAATACTGCAGATAGGATTTTTCCCAAGTTGAAATAAAGCTCCATTTGTTTCAGAAGAAAACATTTTCTACAAGATCTTTTTTTTTCAGAAAATGTTTTCCTATGTTTAGTTGCATTATTGAAACTAATGTACTAGTGATTGTATTAGTGGTGGTGGAATGGTGGCCGCAGGATGGAGATGAGGTGGAGGTGGCGGTGGCAGTGGCAGTGGGGTGTAGAGGTGATAGTAGTATTGGTAGTGTGGGGGCATTGGTAATACTTCAACCCGAAAACGTTTTCCACTTTTAAAAAGTGGAAAACATTTTTTTCCGTAAATAAACTTGTTTACGGTTGACTTTCATTTTTTATTGAACTAAATGCCAGAAAATGCCAAAAAAATATTTTTACAAACAGAGTGTAACTCTTAAATTCACTAACATGAACTAAGGTAGCAGATATGAAGCAGACTCCAAGATGAGAAAGCACAAGCTACAGTTTCTGCAAATCATATTAAGCCAAAGACCTTTTTCTAACAACTGCCTGCAAGGTCAAAGTTGGTGTAAATACCTGTCATACAAACGAGCAGCTTCTACTTGAGTGCCAACAGTTCCCAAGTGAATCTGTTTCTTGTCAACTTTTATTGCTGCTTGCCATTTCATATTCTTAAAATAGACACCTCTCATCAGACACGGTTCTTGGTTCTCAAAATGCTTTCTCCTGTGTCGCTTTCTGTGTTTGACTTCAGGGACTACAAAAAACACATGCATCATTCTAAAGAGAAAAAAGGCATTGCTGGGAGGAATACAAAAGCATCAAAACGCCACTCAGATATTGTTGATTATGACACCACCTGGATATACAAAATCTATAGTAACTAAAATGTGTGAATGTGCATATAAAAAGAAAAACCTGGATGTTGTTGATTATGCTTCTCTTTTGACATGCTAGAACCAGATGCATTTGATGCCCCAGGACTTACTTTTGAAATGATTTTCTGGGAAGCAACATGTATTATTTGAATATAAGCTTGAATTATAGGCCAAAAGACGTAAACAAACAATTGGGCATACAGAAGCATCAAAAAAAAAAAAATTCATTCACTCACAGAAGCATTATTAAATTAAGTAATCATGTAAAGGCACACCACTAATTACTTCTTATTGACATTGGCCTTTTAATGCACTAAAGTCATTGCACTTTTGTCCTGGAGCTTTATATCCCATTAGGCATTAATTTGTGAATTTTCAACCTGCAAAAAAATGGAAAAGAACTGCTACAGGATAGTTTTTGGCATTACCAGATTTTACAGTTTGAATGTTTTACAACAAACAAGTACATTGTTCCCCAACGCCCATCCAATGTGGACTAAATTGGGCATACTTATTTTTTTCTTTTTTATCGTACTATTGAATTGTGACCAAGCAGATCTTTAGCTCCTTGTCTAATCAAGATAATGATCTCTACTTCTATACATGGCTGGACCTTTTTCTTCCTCTTCTTCTTCTTTTTCTTCTTCTTCTTCTTTTTAACTCAACCGCCAACACTTGACTCTCAAACAAGTGTTGTGTTGAATATAGAAATCAAAATATTATGTTTGAATATGGAAATTAGAATAGAAATTGTTAGAATTTCCCATCTTTACCTTCACCTACTCCACTACACACTCCACTTCACCTACCTCCACTTCACCACACACTCCACTTCACCTAACCCACTATCACCTCCACTACACCTACTACCACATTTTCTTCTATATATAGATTGTATAGGAATTGTAATTTATGAATCTTGTAATCAATCAATCAATATACATCAATTTTAACATGGTATCAGAGCAAGGTTAAGCACTTAGTATTTTTCGCTTCACCGGCGGGCGGCAACCTCGCTTTGGCCGCCCGCCGGACCTCAACCTAGTCCACTAAAATTTTCTACACATACCTTCACTCTTCTCTGTCCTAAAGTCTGATCTTTCATTCCGATCCGATCCGACCAGCCCCATCTAGACCCTGGCCAGACCACCCTTGAAGGCACTGCTTGGAGCCTTTGGCCTATGAATCCCTCTCAGGCTGGTACATCCAATTCCACCCTTCCTCCTGCTGGTTCTGTGGGGTTACATATGAGGTCTACCTCACGAGTTGCAAATGACAACATAGCAAACGTACTTGCCATGGCCGAAACCGTACGGGAGGTGCTTCCCCACATCCCAGGTGAATTAATTTTCCAGGATTTGCAGCGTACAAATTCTGTTACTGTTACCGTGAATAATCTGCTCCCAAGACCAGGCTTCCCACTCTATGAAGCCCGTGCTGCATTTAGCCATCTTGAAGTCCGCCACTATGATCTTCTTCCAAAGAAAGGTTGGGAGGTAGATCTTGATGCAGTTGAAGCTCTAGCAAATGAAAATACTGTCGCTATGGCTATTATTAATCCTGGCAATCCTTGTGGGAATGTCTTTACATATCAACATTTAAAGAAAGTTGCTGAGACTGCAAGAAAGCTTGGAAGATGGTTCTCTTCCAATCCCATATGATATTCTTAAGCTGAGGAAGCTCAGATTCAAGAGTGAGGGATGCGGCATAAATCTGAGGAATGCCAGCACCGAATTGGTACTCTGCTCACAGTTCTATTGTCGCTTTCACGAAGACGATTGATTGGTAAGCCAAATAATTCTTTCCATTCTTTTTGGTATCAAAGCCTCCCTAGCCATCTCTCTCTCAAACACCCATCACCATCGACTGCCTTCTTTCTTCTCTCTAGCCTCCGACAGCCTTTTCCGCCTCTTTTTCTCCCTTACGACAGCCTCAGCCCAGTCTTCTTTCAGCCTCCGACAGCCTTTCCCAGCCTTCACCTCGCCTCTAACAGCCCTTTCCAACTCCTTTTCTCCCTCCGACAACCTCAACCCAGCCTTCGCAACCCCTCTCCTTCCTTGTCTTCACCTCAACAGGCCTTCTTTATCCCTGTCGAGGCTCTGGTTGCTGCTGACCAGACTTGGTTCTGCACTTACGTGCTTCAGCTACCTCTTTAGGTGGTTCGTGGTTGTTTTTTACCCCTTCTTCGAGTGATTGGACTGATGTATTAAGCCCCTTTGTCTATCCTTTTATTCTTTTGGGCTACTGGGTTTATTTAGTAGCATCTATTTGGATAAACCGTTGAGTTTTTTTCCAACTTCTAGTTTTTTCTTGGACTATTTTGCTATCTTTGTGCATTTTTCAGCCCCTCTTCTCCCACCATGATTGATCCATCATTTACTGATATACCCACCAAGCCTGTCCCAATTACTTCTGATCTTTCTCTTTCTCATCACACTCTTGTTCATCGTATTACGAGTGTGATGTTGAATGGGAAAAATTTTGCCACCTAAAGCCGCTCCCTTAAACTCTATTTAGAGGGCAACGAAAAAACTGATTGACTTTTATCTTCCACTACCTAGGCTGCTACAACAGATCCTACCTGTGCACAATAGGATATTGATAACTGTACTATTTTGGGATGGATGTTCAACTCCATAGAAGATCATATTTATTACATGTCTCTCTATTGCGACACAATTCCCGGTCTATGGCATGCCTTGTCACAGATGTATGCTCATGCTCATAACGATGCTGGCATCTTTGGGCTCTATCAAGATATTGCTCATGCTTCCCAGTCTGCCTTGGGTCTTTCTGTGTCAGAATTCTTTGGATACCTTCAGGCCCATTGGGAAGAATTGGCTCAATATGAGCCTTTGATTGAGTTACCAGCAGATGCTACCTCTCTTGTGTCCAAACGCCTTGCTCACCAGCATACTTAACAGTTTCTGATGGGTTTACACTTTGAGTTTGAATCCCTTTGAACTCAGATTTTAAACACATCACCTATGCCCTCTCTCTATGAGATCTTTGCCACATTGATAGTGATGAGCGTCGTAGGCGTCTAGTTCAACCTAATCCTTCTCCTCTGTCACCAATTTCATCTGATCAGATGGCTCTTGCTGCAAAATCTGGTTCTTGGGGTTCTGCTGGTCTAGTTACTTGTCATCATTATGGCGTTTCTAGTCATGTTAAGGCTCTTTGCTTCAAACTTCATCCTAAGTTAAGGCAACGTTCCTCTCACCCTCGTGGTGTTAGCACCCCTCGCACTGCGGCTCTAGTGGATTCCGCTACTCCTACTACTGGGTTTCCTCATCTCCCTAATTTACAGGAGTCAGCTTCAGGCTCAGCTTAGATCTCTTACTACTAGTTCTCCTGGCCCATCATCTACCAGTGCTACCACCCTTGCAACAGGTACTTCCACTGCTTTCCATGTTCGGTCTGCTAGTCCCTCATGGGTTCTAGATTCTAGGGTTAATAATCATATGACGAGTGAGTTTTCCTTTCTTTCTTCGCTAGTCCTTACTACTATTGCCCAATCTATGTGTCTTGCTAATGGTTCGTTATCCTCTGTCATAAGGGTGTAGTGTCTTTATCCCCTACCATTACTTTATCATCTGTTTTGCATATTCCAAAGTTTGCATAGTCTCTTATCCATTAGTCGTCTTGCCAAACAATTTAATTGTGCTGTCATCTTCTTACCCTCCTCTTGCCTTTTACAAGACCTGAGTTCAAAGAGGATTTTTGGCGAGGGCTATGAGCGTGATGGACTGTACTACTATGAGGATCTATCGGACGAGCCTTTCTCTTCTTCCTTAGCTAGTTTTCAAGCCTCTGTTTTGCTTGCTTGCATGCCTTATGTTTTTAATATTCAAACTTTAAAATTATGGCACGATCGTATGGGTCACATTAATATTTAGTATTTATGTAAACTTTTTCCTTCATTTAATAAAGTTTGCAAAGATTCTAAGTTTCATTGAGTGGTTTGTGAGTTGTCTAAGCATACCCGTACTAGCTATATCCCTCCTATGACTCGTGCTCCTAATGTTTTGATCTTATACATTCTCTGATGTTTGGGGCCTTTCCCTTGTCACAGTTTTTTCTGGTCATAGATGTTATATGACTTTTATTGATGATCACACTAGGTGCACTTGGATTTATCTAATTCGTCGTAAGTCTGACGTCTTTCCCATTTTTGTACAATTTTTACAGATGGTTAAAACTCAGTTTCATACAATTGTTAGGACTATCAGTTCTAATAATGGTAGGAAATATATTTCTAATGCATTTCATTCTCATCTTAATCAAACTAATATTCTTCAACAACTTACTTGTCCTCGAACCCTTGAACAAAATGGTATTGTTGAAAGCAAAAACCATCATATTATGTCTGTTGTCCGGTATCTTCTTCGAGGTATGGGTGCTCCTAAGTCTTATTGGCATATGATTGTCCTTACTGCTGTTTACCTCTTTAATAAGATCCCTAGTTGTGTGTTGCATGGACTCACTCCGTTTCATACCCTTATACCCACCACCACTCTGTTTCCTCTCTTACCTCGTGTCTTTGGGTGTACCTATTTTGTTCAAAATCGGAGTCCCAGTCGCACAAAGTTAGATGACAAATGTATTCGCTGTATGTTCTTAGAGTACTCTTCCATGTCCAAAGGGTATAAGCAAGGTTTTGAAAAGCGGTTGCGATCGCCGTAATGGTAACGGTGACGCGGTTGCGGTTGCAGTTGCAGTTGCAGGGTGTAAAGGCCATAGCCAAGGTTCTGAAAAGCGGTTGCGGTCGCTGTAACGGTGGCGGTAGCGCGGTTGCGGTTGCGGGGTGTAAAGGCCGTAGCGTAACGGTTGCAGTAACCAGAACCGTGAATTTTTTTATTTTTCGCACAATTTGAAAAAAACTTATCGATACGCACATTTTTTTTCCATGATCATATTTATTGGATTTTAAAATAAATATTGATCAATTTTTATAAATTTTTAAGTTTGATCCAATATATTTCATATTCTTAAATCACTAAAAACTGAGTTTTTTACATTTTATTTTAATAATTAACAACTTTATATTATACAAAAAATCAATCACTAACTATTATATATAAAATAAACAATAACAAAAGTAAGAGAATAAATAAAAGCCTAA